AATGTAAAGGCAAGGGCCACTCCATCAAGATCCCTGAGGATGGAGGGACACAACGACAACTAAAGGGGGGGCCCATCATCGAAGTATCCGACGCCCTACCTACAACGCAAAAGGGCCTGTCATCCCGACTAGTCTACAACGTTGCCTTTTTCAACCACTTGGAATCGAAAATGAAGCCAAGCTAATGGTGATCGAATCCAAGACCGAAACCATGGACAAGGCACACACAACAAACCCCGCGGAAACCGAACCGCGAACGCGAATACTCCTCAACGGATCGTTAACACTTCCGATCCTGTCGTTTTACAGCAAGTTCCCCTGGGATGGGTGTCTTACGATGGATGAATGGGATTTTCATCTCGATGAACCCCCTGGGGCCTCGGCTGCGAGGGTAACGCGCAGGGTTCGCATCGTGGTTTTGCAGGATATCCGGGACATCTAGGGGGCCGTCCTCTGGCGCGCGCATGATGTATGGCACCGGTGTTAGGGTCTCACCGCCGAGGGCATCCCGAAAGTGATCACACACTGCGTGAACGAGATCGAGGGGCTTCCTGTCGAGGAATAGACGATGCGGCCCGCCAAGTGGACCACCGTAAGGTATGATAATATCGTATTTCTCTGACACACCACTGCGGGTTGATTGGGTTTGTTTGGGATGTGGTCAATCAAGGCGGAGATGAAGTAATGTATCATCCGCAATGGCAAATCGATAAGATCCTTCCCTGCCTGCCCTTGAGCTTTAATAACGTCCCACCGAATAGGCTATTGGACATGTCCTTCTGGCTTTTGTTGATGTCGTGAACGCACTCGAACGACCCACATGATCACCACTTCGGCAAAGCATGAATTTATCGCAATAATTAGGCTAGACAATGGCATTTTGTTTGGGGGGTTTTCTTCAGCAACACATGATAATTTACATCCGCACCTCGGCCTTGCAAAGGAAATGCAATTTGCGTTCCTACTTGACGAAGTACCTATCGACCACACAATGTATACACTCATGCTTCGGATTTGCATCGCACCGCTATACAAAACGTGCGTGGCATCGGACCCTTCCAGAAATCCTGCCTGCATCGAGTTTCCAGTATTTTGAAATTTCTTAAAATCAGGCGACGCTTCCCACAACATCTTTGTTATGGAACTTTATCAAATCAAAGCATTAATAGAGATTTTAGCGAGCTTCCACAGCTTGAGAAGAAACTTCACGTAAAATAGTTTTCTTATAGTAGACATTGCAAAATCCGGAAACTACCCTGAACCGCGACCAACCCCGATATTGAAAATATCCAATTCAAAGAATAAAAACCGCAACTTTTATAACTAATCAGAGTCTATGTAACATTATCAAAAAAATCTTTCTTGTGGGAGACAATTCCCCAACAACCACAGAAGTCACCCCCCCAACCCCAAAATCGTTATATCTTGCACCTTGTTGAGTCAAACGCAAAAAAAAGTCGAAAAAAAAATTTGAAAATAATTTGTTCTCACGTAATAAAAATATTTTGACATAAAAAAAATTGTTTCACTAAATAAATATAAACGATATCGACCCTTATCCTTTTTAACGGAAAATTCATCAGGTGAAAATATTCCGTTGAAAAAATATCAATCGGTGCCATAATGGAGATTGAGATGTTTCACTAGGAAAAAAATTGCCAGCTGTGTGCCAAATCACCCATTATTTCTAATTTCCAATAATCGATAAAAAAAAATCACCTTACCAACCCCCAACCTGCACATCCTTAACCAAGACAAAAAAGCCAATCTGCTACAGAATGGTGGGGTTTTGGTGCGGCATGGAAAACGATGTAAAGGGTTGGGGGTCCATAAAGTGACTTTTAAAGTTCTGTTGTCTTTGATTTAAAATTGGCAATCATAATTTATTTGGAAAACAAATATTTAATTTTTCACTGCGATAGACCGAAATCCCCATTATTAAACCAGCCCCCCCCCCCATTCCTTGAAAAACGCCCGCCGATGCCAATTTCCAAAGATCTATATTACCCCAACGCAAGCCACCCAACCGATCTCAACCCTTTACATTGCCAAAAAAGTAAAACAAAACGTCTATTTCCATATCGTTTTACCCCCGTTCTGAAAAAATACCTATTACGTTTTTGAGCGAAATAACATTTAATCTGTTACGGGGCACGAGGGAAACCGGTCTGACAATGGGGGTTTCATTTTGACATGGCGCAGGATGCAACGATTTTTTGGGGGGAAAGGTGGCTTTTATGGGCCTTTTGTCGGCGATAATAAATTTTAAATAATAGGCAATTTGGCAAACAAATCTTACATTTTTTTCTGTGAATAATTAAACCCCCCCAGTTCTGTAACAAAACGCCTGCCACAGCCCATTTCAAACACACAAGTGGGACAAAAAAATCCAACAGACCCAGAACACGTCACATACCGAAATTTGCCGATGGAAATCCAAAT